CCCGTGGCTCGGGCAGGGCAGGGCCCGCGTCCCCTGGGGCATCCGCCCGCCTCGCTCCGCGCGTGGCCGCGGCTCTGGCAGGCGCAGATGCCGGTTTCTCCACATGCAGCTTCATGGACGGAGCTTTCCTACAGCGGGATGCCAAGCTTTGTGCCAGCCGCGTTCTTTTGCAGGGATACCTAGTGTATCCCATGGTTTATCTCGAAACTTTTGTGTTGTCAGCTCTTAATCCTCAGCCTTATTTTTAAGACACAGAGCACCCCGGACAGAAGAGCACGTCCTGCCTACCAGTTCGCCCTGGTAATGACTCGTTTCGGCTCCAGGAAACACAGCGCCTAGCCCCGACATTGTGGTTTTTTTCATTCACAGAACTGGCGGCGTTTCGTGAATGTAGATGAGCCTCAACGTTGATACAAAACAAAAAAATATGAACAGGTGTTTGACAAGAGGAGATGTTGACCTATAAACTCAGTTTCAAATCCTTAGGTGACATTTTATCTTTGAGGATGATGGGGAGCCATACAAAGCTCCGGAAGTGCATTTCAAATGTAATCTCCTCCTCCCCTTAAAAAAAAACCCCAACATACTTTCTAGAAAAAAACAACATGCTTCTTCAACGTCAGATCAGACTGCTCAGCAGAACTGACTTTCAGTCTTCTGCCAGTAATATGCATGAAGTAAAAGCATAGCGTGTAGTTGCTCCAGGACAAACCCAACCATTTAATTTTATGTATCTCTGGTGAATTATTATTTTATTAACACATGGAATTATGCAAACATAAACAGCAAATCGTGAAGTCACATCATGAAGGATTCATTCTCAATGTATATTGTTCTCAGCGATGCGTGGAGTGGTAGAAAGAGCATCACATAAAAAGACATGAAAGAAGAAACACTGACATTTAGTAAAGGTGAATTATTCTTTCAACTTATCTCAGTAAAAATCAAATCTTGACTCCTTTATGTTGCTTTACATCCTTTTCTCAGAACTACAGCATTAATAAAAGCCCTTTGCAACGTGGAACTTGCCCACAGTGTATTTACACAATCTATATATAAATATACCATGCTTTCTCAGGTTTTCTAGTATAATAAAATCAACTGATGCATATTCAAGCTACAGAAATAAATGCTTCTTTGTCTTTTTTCAGACAACGCTATCCAAAGAATTAGACCAAGTGTGGAACAACCAATGGGTTAACATTATGGTCTTACTGGTCCCACTGCTTTGTCTCAAGGTGTTAAAATTATTTTCAGCCCTCCGTGGTTCATGAGCATGGCTTCGCAGAAAGGATGAGGAAAATTTGTTTCAACACTGTATTATTTTAATTATTAAAGGCTGATGGGTCATGGAGGAGAAATGAAAATATTAACAAAAGGCTGTAGATCTTTGATTAGTTTCAAATAGTGTATTGTTTCCTAATTTTATTTGATACTTCCTCTTCCTTGGTTTTCAGTAGTTGCCATCTTCTTACTGATACTTTGGGGTTTTTTCTTGGTATCATTAACTGCAAAGCCTCAAGTATTCAGGCTGGAATCTCATCCATCTACTTTAGACACCCTGCTGAGATGTTATTACCTTGATGAAATTTTAGGTGTCTGAGCCCTGGAAGGGATGAAAGGAGCAATCTATTTGCCTCAGCTTTGCTGTATGGGCAGTGGACAGAGAGAGGCACTTCTGAAGACCTGCAGAAGATGACTGCTTCCTTTGAGGTTTTTACAGTGCTTCCTTCTTTACTCCAACTGCAACTGAACTCACGGTGCTGGTGGGCAAAGCCAGCCTGCAGTTACAGCACAGATATCCTCCTGGAAAGTCATCGGAAACACTAGTAACGCTCCATCCACACATGCTCCAGCCTATCTGTCCCTCCTGCAGGACTGGCACCAATGAAGCAGTAAGTTATCACAGTGCTTCCACCCACATTTTGCATTAAGATGCATAAAGCCGTAAGAAAGGAAGTGGGTGATGTTTCTAGACTCTAATTAAGCCCTGAGCTCAAACTTCCCAGCAGAATGGCATAATCAGCAAGCACTGGGTAGCGTGGATGGTAGGTGTTGCAGCTGAGAGCCTGTGCAGCCAGGAACGCGCAAGGCACGGGGCCACATCAGAGCAGACAAAAGCGAACACAAGGTTAGCCTAGCAGTACAGACACTCTGGCACGAGGTGGAGGGTTATGAGGTTATGCCCTTTTTTTCTTGTTCATTCCATGTCAATCTGCTGTATGACATATCTTTTCCCGTATGTGAATTTACTCCCCTTGGTTTTGCTCCCCTTGAGGTGAGCACTGGAGCCAACTCCTCATATCTGCCACATGGTGGTTCAAGTTCAGTAAGAGAGGTCAATGGTTTTTGCCTGAGCAAGGCATAGCAGTTAGGGCCGTCTCATAAGATGTTGACGGTGTCACATCAATCCCTTTCAAATAGTACAATGTACACTTCCACTCCCATGCTTAGCTCGAGACGTGTTCTCTGCATTTTGCACGTATGTCAAAGCTGATGTCCCATGCCGGAAGAAGCCA